TTAGCTGTCATTTCTTCCTGGAATTTCTTTGGAGGAGAGCTCTTCTGTTTCGTCATTTTGATTAGTTTTCTATCTCTTGTTAGTTTTAAAAGCTTGTTATGCACTCTGCACCTGTGAGTGCTGCTGTACCAAAGAAAGCTCTTTGACTGTCCAGGGCCTGTCCATTCAGAAAGTGTTCTTTGAACGGTATCTCTTGGTCTTTCTTGTTGAGACCTTGGTTATTTTATTTTCCTACTCGTAGTAGTATTTGGGACTCTCCACCATGTGTACTTTGGCTTGTTTCTTGAGGTAGGCCATGAATCTACTAGCTGTTCCCTCCTGAGTTCAAAAACATCTGTTGAATATTCGCAGTGGAAGACAGAGCAGACTCAAGTCCTGTTCTCACCGAGGCATATGCTCTCGCCGCCGCCTGGTGCTGCATTTGGTCCGAGGCTGGCCACACGGCCTGATACCGAAATTTTAAAAAAGCAGAACTGATCAATGAAACCAGGAGCTGGTTCTTTGAAAGACTTAACAAAATCGATAAATCCATAGCCAGATTGACCAAAAAGAAAAAGGAAAGGACTCAAATAAAGTGATGAATAAAAGAGGAGAGATCACAACCAATACGGCAGAAATACAAACAATGGTAAGAGAATATTATGAGAAATTATATGCCAACAAATTTGGCAATCTGGAAAAAATGGACAGATTCCTAGAAACATATAAACTACCAAAACTGAAACAGGAAGAAATAGAAAATTTTAACAGACCCATAATCAGTAAAGAAATTGAATCAATAATTAAAAACTTCAACAATCAAGAGTGGAGAGCTGGAAGGCTCCCCAGGGCAATTCTACCAGACTCTTAAGGAGAGTTAACATTTATTCTTTTGAAGTTGTTCCAAAAAAAAAAAAAAAAAAAGAAGGAAGGAGAAGGAAAACCTCCAAACTCATTCTGTGAGGACAGCATAACCTTGATTCCAGAACCAGACAAAGACCCCACTAAAAAGGAGAACTACAGACCAATGTCCCTGATGAACATGGATGCAGAAATTCTCAACAAGATACTAGCAAATTGGATCCAACATTTTTTTAAAAATATTTTTATTTATTTCTAGGAGAGAGAGAGAGACAGTGTGAGCAGGGGAGGGTCAGAGAGAGAGGGAGTCACAGACTCTGAAACAGGCTCCAGGCTCTGAGCTGGCAGTCAGCACAGAGCCCGACGCGGGGCTCGAACCCACGAACCGTGAGATCATGACCCAAGCGAAAGTCGGACGCCTAACCGACTAAGCCACCCAGGCTCCCCTGGATCCAACATTAAAAGAATCACTCACCACAGACAAATCGGATTTATTCCTGGGATGCAGGACTGGTTCAATATCTGCAAATTAATCAGTGTGATACATCACAATAAAAGAAAGGATAAGAATTACATGATTCTCTCAATAGATGCTAAAAAAGCATTTGACAGACTACAGCATCCTTTCTTGATAAAACCCCTCAAGAAAGTAGGGATAGGGGCACCTGGGTGGCTTAGTCGGTTAGGCGTCCGACTTTCGCTTAGGTCATGATCTCGCGGTTCGTGGGTTCGAGCCCCGCGTCGGGCTCTGTGCTGACTGCTAGCTCAGAGCCTGGAGCCTGTTTCAGAGTCTGTGACTCCCTCTCTCTCTGACCCTCCCATGCTCACGCTGTCTCTCTCTCTCTCCTAGAAATAAATAAAACATTTAAAAAAAAAAGTAGGGATAGAAGGATTATACCTCAAGATCATAAAGGCCATATATGAAAGACCCACAGCTATTATCATTTTCAATGGGGAAAAACTGTGAGCTTTACCCTAAAGTCAGGAACATGACAAGGATGTTCACTTTCACCACTGTTATTCAACATAGTGTTGGAAGTCCTAGCCTCAGCAATCAGACAACACAAAGAAATGAAAAGCATCCAAAATGGCAAGGAGGAAGTCAAACTTTCACTCTTTGCAGACAACATGATACTCTATGTGGAAAATGCAAAAGATTCCAGCAAAACACTGCCAGAAGTGATACACGAATTCAGCAAAGTCTCAGGATATAAAATCAATGTACAGAAATAATTTGCATTCCTATACACCAATAGTGAAGCACAGAAAGAGAAATAAAGGAATCGATCCCATTTACAATTGCATCAAAAACTGTAAAATACCTAGGATTAACATAACCAAAGGTGAAAAATCTATACACTGAAAACTCTAGAAGGCTTATGAAAGAGGAGAGCCTGGGAAGTTCAGTTGATTAAGTGTCTGACTTTGGCTTATGTCACGATGTCACATTTTGTGAGTTCAATTCCCACGTCAGGCTGTCTGAACTTAGCACAGAGGCTGCTTCGGATCCTCTGTCTCCTCCTCTCTCTCTCTCTGCACCTCCCCTGCTCATCCTTTCTCAAAATTAAACATTAAAAATAAAAAAGCTTATGAAAGAAATTGAAGAAGACACACAAAAAAATTGAAAGACACTCCATGCTGATGGATTGGAAGAACAAATACTGTTAAAATGTTAGGGTAACTACCCAAAAGCAATCTCCATATTCAGTGCAATACCTACCAAAATGGCAACCCACATTTTTCAGAGAGCCAGAACAAACAATCCTAAAATTTGTATGGAACCAGAAAAGACCCCAAATAGCAAAAGCAATTTTGAGAAAGAAAACCAAAGTTGGAGGCATCACAATTCCAGACTTCAAGCTGTATTATAGAGCTGTAATCATCAAGACAGTATGGTACTGGCACAAGAACAGACAGGTAGATCAATAGAACAGAGAACCCAGAAATGGACCTAGAAGTGTATGTCCAACTAATCTTTGACAAAGCAGGAAAGAATAGCCAATGGAAAAAAGACAGTATCTTCAGCAAATGGTGTTGGGAAAACTGGACAGCAACATGTAGAATGAACCTGAACCAGTTTCTTACACCATACACAGAAATAAACTAAAATGGATGAAAGACCTAAATGTAAGACAGGAAGCCATCAAAATTCTAGAGGAGAAGACAGACAACAACCTCTTTGACCTCAGCTATAGCAACTTCTTCTCACGTTACTGGAGGCAAGAGAAACAAAAGCAAAAATGAACTATTTGGACCTTATCAAAATAAAAAGCTCCTGCACAGTGAAAGAAACAATCAGCGAAACAAAAGGCAACGACAGAGTGGGATAAGATACTTACAAATGACATATCTGATAAAAAGTTAGTATCGAAAATAGATAAAAAAGCGAACCAAACTCAACATGCAAAAAAACCAATAATCCAGTGAAGAAATGGGCAAAAGACATGAATAGACACTTTTCCAAAGAAGATATCCGGATGGGTAATAGACATGAGGAAATGTTCAACATCACTCATCATCAGGGAAATACAAATCAAAACCACAGTGACATACCACTTCACACCTGTAAAATGATGAAAATTAACAACTCAGGCAACAACAGATATTGGAGAAGATGCAGAGAAATAGGAACCCTTTTGCACTTCTGTTGGAAATGCAAACTGGTGCAGCCACTCTGGAAAACAGTATGGAGGTTCCTCAAAAAATTAAAAATAAAACAACCCACGACCCAGCAATTGCACAACTAGGTATTTATCTAAAGTATACAAGAGTGCTGATTTGAAGGAGCACATGCACTGCAGTGTTTATTATAGCAGCGCTGTCGACAATAGCCAGTGTGGAAAGAGCCCAAATGTCCATCGACTGATGAATGGATAAAGAAGATGTGTGTGTACACACACACATATACACAATGGAATGTTACTTGGCAATCAAAAAGAATGAAATATTGCCATTTGCAATAATGTGGATGAAATTAGAATGTATTATGCTAAGCGAAATAAGTCAGTCGTAGAAAGACAAATACATGTGATTTCACTCTGTGGAATTTTAAGATACAAAACAGATTAACATAAGGGAAGGGAAGCAAAAATAAGATAAAAACAGAGAGGGAGGCAAACCATAAGAGACTCTGAAGAACAGAGAGCAAACTGAGGGTTGCTGGTGGGGTGTTGGGTTGGGACAAAGCCAAGGGGTGAGGGGCAATAAGGAGGACATTTCTTGGGATGAGTGCTAGGTGTCGTATGTAAGTGATGAGTCACTGAATTCTATTCCTGTAATTATTATTACAGTGTATGTTAACTAATTTGGATTTAAATTAAAAAGAGAAAATATGCCATGTGAAAGAGACCAAACTCACATGGACACATACTCATATATAAAATGCAGAATAGGGGCGCCTGGGTGGCTCAGTGGGTTAAGCAGCTGACTTCATGATCTCGCTGGCGGTGAGTTCGATCCCCACATCGGGCTTTGTGCTGACAGCTTGGAGCCTGGAGCCTGCTTCAGATTCTGTGTCTCCCGCTCTGTACCTCTCCCACTCGCTCTTGCTCTCAAAAGTAAGTAAACATTAAAAAAACACTTTTTTTAATTAAATGCAGAATAGGCCAATCCAGAGACATAAAGTATGTCTGTTGTGGCCAGGAGACATGGCTTCACAGCTATTTTGAACTTTAAATCTGTTTGAAAAATGGAGCTATAATTCGCATACCATACTCACACTTGTTAAAAATTTATTTTTTATTTAAATTTATGTATTAAAATGTATTTTAAAGTGTTACTTGAGAGAGAGAGCGAGCGAGCTAGGAAGAGGCAGAGAGACAGAGGGAGGGTGAATCCCAACCAGGCACCATGCCATTAGCAGGGAGCCGGACTGGGAGTGGCAGCGGGACTGGGGATGCAAACCCACGAAACTGCAAACGATGAGATCATGACCTGACCCCAAACCAAGTCAGATGCTTAATATACTGAGCCGCCCAGGCGCCTGGAGCTCACATTTTTAAGAGTAAAACTCAGTGTTCTGTTTTTTGTATGGTCGCAGACCTGTGCCACATCAGTGTACCATGTGGAGAAGGGAAGTAGAGCCTTTTACATTCCACGTTCACAGGGACTGACTACAAACTCTATCTGCCGTGACTTTCCTTGGAGAATATAACGCATACCTGAGTACTGTAACGTGTCACATTTATGACTGTGTCCTGCTGGGGTAGCGGGGCCCAGTGTCACTTGGGGGCTGAGGACTCGGGCATGTTTGGTTGACCTGAGGCCAGAGATGTGGGGGCGGGGACGGAGGGCGGGGTCTCGTGGTGTCAAAGAGGTCAAAACGCTGGAAGACCTTATCTTCTGTTCGGTGACATCACACAGGTCATTGAACTTAAACACCGGGGACAGGGGCACCGTCACCTCGCCCCCGCGTCGACCACAGACACAACCGTCACCAGGCCCTTCTGCTGTCTCGTTCCGATCCGGCGTCGGAAGAGGGTGGCTCCGCGGAGAAACTGAGTCACATTCCCGGGACAAAGGAGGAGGCAGGCGGGTCAGCGGGCCAAGAGAGCATTCGGCGGGGTGCCGACCTTAGGGCGGGCGGATCAGACACGTGTATACCGCCGACCTGTCACTCAGGCCTTAGGAGGCGGGGCCTGGGGGAATCTGCCCAATCTGGCACCACAGGGGCGGTGCCGGGATTACCTTCCAATCAGAAAGTGAAGAGCCTCAGGCTGTCCTATCATAGTGCGGCAGTGTAGTGTCTCGGAGAACTGTCCAATCAGGGTCGTGGGGAGTTATTGTCGGAACACCATCCAATCAGGCCGCATTGCCTGAAGCAACGCCCAATCACTGCTTGGGGGCGCGTAGCGCGGTGCATTTATATTACCGGGTCCGGAAACACTCCAATCAGGCCCGGGTGGGTGGGGGATGGGGTGATGTGATCCCGCCCGGTGAGTGTGAGCTCTGAGTCGCGGCTGCGGGGGTGCGCCGGTCCCGCGCTCACCCACTTTTCCTGTCCGCGAGCTCGTGTGTCGGAGGGGGTCGCCGTGTAGCGGGATCGAGGGGAGGACGCCCACAGAGCTCCGAGTACGGCCGCGAGATGGTGAGTGGCCTGGCCCCGGCCCGGGACGCGGAGGGGCTGGTTCCAACCGGTCTGAACCGGTTTGTAGTGACCGCGGACCCCTGGCTCCCTGTTCCCCGCGAGTTCTCTCCCGAGTTTCCTCTGCGGGCCTTCGGATGGCGTCCCGGCGTCCTCTGCCATCCTGGCGTGTGGGTCTCTTAGGCTCGACCCGAATCTCCGCGGTGGGCCGCGGTCCCAACCCTGGATCGGCCGTGGGCCTCCGGGTGAGGTTCCTTTGTCCTGTTCCCTCGCCTCGTGGGGTCCCGGGGCTCGGGTCCAGAGGTCTGTGGGCCGCGGGGTGGGGTTGCGGTGTCCCATCTCCCCCCCTCGTGTCCTCGTGGGGGTTCCGCAGGTCCTGACCCGAGTCTCCGCCTTTGGCCATGAGGTGGGGTCCCGGTGTCCCGTCATAATCACGGGTTTCCCTGTGGCCACCTGAGTCCCGGCGGGTGGAAGGAGGCGGGGACCACCACGTGCGGGGGCAGTAAAACCTGGGAGCTGGGGTCAGGGAACTCACGGTGGGCCTGAGAAAAATTCAGATCCGGACTTGGCCGAGGACGATTTATTACAAAGGAGTTCCAGCAGGGACAGGGTCCAGCCTCACATCCTCGGATCCTCAGGGATTCGGCGTCTCCAGTGGAACAGAACCGGGACTTGGCTGTTCTGTGAGGCGGGCGGGGGTGGGGGGCGGTGAGCAAGAAAACCCACTGTCAGCGGTGGAGGAAGGCCTCCTGGGCTCAGGCCCCCAGGGCCTTGTTCCTCAGCTCAGTGGGTGCTCAGAGTGTGGGCCCCCCGCAGTTCAGGGCCCTTGGGGGGGGGGCAGTGGCCTGGGTAACGTTTGGGTAGGAAAGGGGCGGTGGTGGACAGTTGCTCAAACCGGTGTCAAAGTAAAATCCGAATTGAGCAAGGAGGGACGTGTATTGAGAAGGATTACAAAGGCTGGGGGAGAGGGGACTGCTTGTTGCATTTGGGCGGAGGCGGGTTTGTAGCACTAGGGGCAGGGGCTGTGCAGGGGGGCCTGGGCTGTTACATTAGGGGCAGGGGCCGGGGCTGCGGCGACAGGCAGGACGCTGTGAGCATAAGACCTGAGCGTCTCAGGAGTCGTGTGAAAGGGGGGAGAGGGGGAAGGACACAGGCGTGAGCAGGTGTGGTGCTGACGCGCACGTTCCCTGAGGCCAGCCTGTCCCAGTGTCCCCAGGAGGGGCTGTGAGGGGCTCAGGCTGAGACAGGCCCAAGTACAGGGTCCGGAGGAGGAGAGAAGCCAAACCAGCGGGGGAGCAGCCGGCACGTTGTGCCCCTTGGTCATGGGGACGCGCAGCTGAGCTGATGGTGGGTGCGGCACAGTGTGGATTGCGGGGGGGGGTCCGCGCGGGGCCCTGTCGTGGGTGAACCCCGGGGACGTCCCTGGGAGGCTTCTCCTGGTCTGACGGGGGAGGGGCCCTGTCTGCAGCCTGCTGGTTCCCAGACCCCAGCGGGGTGGGGGAGGGGCTGCCTTCCTCCTGCCACTGAGGTTTTCCCCGGAGCACAGGGCTCAGGTAGGCACCTGCGTGTGTCCCCTGTCCCCTGTGAGCAGCGCTGTCCCTGTCCAGCTCAGCGCCCATGGCCCTGTCTTCCGCCAGCCTCACGTTCAGCAGGTGTAAACGCCTGAGTTTCTGCCTCCTTCCTTGCCCTTCAGCGCAGAGGGTAGTAAGTGTGTCAGGTCGTTCATGCCCCTACTGACTCGGGTCACTCTGGGCTTCATCCAGAGAATGTCCCCTGGGGACACGTGTCTCAGGACAGGATTGTCCTTCTCCCTTAGGGTTGGGGGAATACGCAAGGGGAGCCACACCTTCATGTCAGGTGGGTGGATCAAAGGATTCATCCAGATGCTGGTGATGGTTCCACACAGGGTCCAGAGTTGGGAAACTGATCCTGACCCACTTCTGCTTAGTTGACGGTAGTCTGAGATACACGGAAGTTCCTTGAACTGGGATTCAAAAGTCAGTTGTGACTTAGTTTACTATCATGAGGGTAAAGGTAACAAGTACCTGTTCTCTGAAATGGATAAAACTATAAATGTGCCCTAGAACTTGTTGCCTTTTTTCTATCTTGCGCACAAGTAGAAGTAGTGATTCTGCACGTTTTCCTTCACACGCTGGGAGGGGGTCACTGTGTCGCCCAGATGCCCCAGGCCGCTCACAGGGGGGGGTCTCAAGTTCATCTTTTCTTTTGTCAGCAATCCTGCTACAGTGGTTTCACGACCCGAGTGCGAATGCATCGTCATTTCTACGCGTGGGGGGAAATCGCATATTGTAGTTGGGAGGGAAGTTAAAACTTACTGAGCGATGAGGATGCAGCGTGTGAATCAGCCTTCGGTGCTGGGTCCTGTCGCTTGTGGCAGCGGGAGTTATCCGGCTTCCTTTGTCCACCTGGCGTGCGTGACATGAGGTGTCCTTGATGTCACCTGTTGCGTTTTCTGACTCCCCCGGGGCTGAGCATTTCTCACGGGCGGGTCCCTCTTCTGAGGACGCGTTTCCAGCGTGTTGTCCCCTGTAACTCACGCATCTGCTTCCTGACGTTCTGTTTCCTTCACGTCCTGTGGACATGCGTGCTGTTTCATTTGTGCGTGTTGTGAGTGTTCTCTCCCCGTCAGGGTGTTTCATTTCTCTGTGCTGTCCACGTGGATGGACCGTTCCCAGTTTCTCTCTCTCTCTTTTTTTAAGGTTATTTATTTTGAGAGAGAAAGAGCATGAGGGAAGGAGGGGCAGAGAGAGGGAGACACAGAATCTGAAGCAGCTCCAGGCTCTGAGCTGTCAGCACAGAGCTTGACACAGGGCTCAAACTCACGAACCACGAGATCGTGACCTGAGCCCAAGTCGGATGCTCAACCGACCGAGCCCCCCAGGCGCCCTAGGATTTCCTTTGCCCCTTCAATAACCCGCCTTCCCTGCCCCCCTGTGTCCAAGTGTCCCCATCTCTGCTGCTGCCCCGCGGCACCTGCTGGGTGTAGGTCCACTTGCCAAACTCATGGACGCCTGTCTGTGCTTCCCTTTGTCGATCAGGGTGTTTGTCTGTCTGTCTGTTACTGCCACATATTCTAGTCACTGGTAACTTGTAAATTGAAACTCCGTTATTTTACCCCCAAAACAGAGTGTTCTGGAACAGCAGAGAATGAATTCTGGCCGTGTCAGACACCGCAGAACCACAGGCAGAGGAGAGGGACGCTCCCCTACAGAGGCCGGGCCCGGCTGGGGTGGAAACACAGGGCGGGGAAGGAACTAGAGCTGGCCGCGCACTGGCCCCTCACGGGTGGGGCGGGGGTGGGGAGGGTGCTGGGGCTGCAGGGTGCTGGCCTTGCTGCGGGTCCCCGGGTCAGGACGGGGCAGGGCTCGAGGGCGCCCCCTGGCGGTCCCCCCACTCCGCCCCTGAGGAGCTTTCCTTGTGCGAATTTCTACATTTCCTGTTCGACATAAACGTTCCACAGAAGCATCTGGGAGTAAGAGGCAGGTTGGCCGTATTTACTGGGTTTGTCCCTCAGCGCCGGGAGGGACGTCTCCCGCTGGTCGAGTCGCGTGTTGGAGGGAACGTGCAGAGCAGTGGACGCCAGTCGAGGCCACACCTGAGTAACAAGGACGGTCGTGACGGAGACACTGCCAGACACTTGTCATCTAGTCCGTATTCATCAGCAGTGTGAGCACTGCAGAGCGTGTCCTGGTATGTACGTCACCGTCACACGAGTCACAGTAAAATACGAAAGAGAAGGAACAGAATTCTATGGATTGTTCTAATCCGGGACCCCAGGTCTGAAGGCAGCGCACTGGAATGTTCATTGGCACGTAGTCCAACCTCGGGGAGAAAGTTCTCCCCGTGGAGGGGGACCCGGAGTCCTGCACGCCTCCTGGAAGGCCCCGCCCGCGTGACCCTGAGGACAGATAGTAGCTCCTTCAGAAGCACAGGGAGGGAAGGCACCCAGCATTCGGGAGGAGCCAGTGCGGGGAGGACACGGCTTAGTGGTGAGGTTTTTGAAATAATAGCAAAACTTGAAACATGTTTTAAAAAGCGGTGTTCTTGGGGCATCTGGGTGCCTCAGTTGGTTGATCATGGGACTCGATTTCAGCACAGGTTATGTTCTCCTGGTTCATAGGTTCAAGCCCCAGGTTGGGCTCCCTGCTGACAGTGCAGAGCCGGCTTGGGATTCTCTCTTCCTGTCTCTGCCCCACCCCCGCTCCTGGTGGCTCGCTCTTTTCTTCCTCAGAAAAAGAAAACTCAGTTATTTTTCCGGAAAAAAAAGGGTTTATCTGGGAACAGATAATTGGGAGTTGGGACACTTAAGCCCCAGCAACACCACAGGCAAGTCTGGAGAAGAAAGGGAGGAACGAGGGGAGGGCCGCTCTTGTCTAGAGGAGATGGGGTGAGGGGCTGTGCCAAACTAAACAAGTATTGGAGTAAACTGGGGTTCCACGTGTAGTGGCTTCTCATTGGCTGAGCTGTGAGTGTCTCTCTTTGGCTGAGATATGATTGTTTCTCATTGGCTTAGCTCTGGCTCTCATTGGCTGGACTGTGACCGTCTCTCATTGGCTGGGCTGTTGCCACCCGAGGAAACAATCTTCCTTCCTCCTGCCTGAACAGTGGTGCATTATGGGTGTGCCGGGTCGTCTCTCGGCTGTGTCTGCGCTTGGCCCGGAGCCGCAGGTCTGGGAGCCTCCCCTGTGGACTCCTGACTCCACCTCAGTCGTGTCTCCTTCTCCTTCTCTCAGCGTCGAAGAGGTGCAGGGCTTCTGGGTGGTTCTCCCTGTCGGCGATCAGCAGTCGTGCCACGGAGAGTCCGTGCGCACACGTGTGTGTGAGGGCGCGTCCTCCCTGGTCTGGGGCAGGTGGATCGAGGAGCGGAACTGGCGTGTGGCCTGGGGCCTCCACGGTCCTCATTCTGAGGGGCCGCCAGACTCCCCCCAAGCGGCTGCCCCTCTTACACCCGCAGCAGGATAGACAGACGCGAGTTCGCCCTGCTCACGGCCTCGCCCGCGCTTCCTGGTGCGTCTTCATAGCCAGTCAGGTGGGGGCCGAGGGCATCTGCCGGTAGTTCGAGGTGCGAGTCCCTCGTGACGAATGTCTAGCATCGGTTCAGAGACCTACGGGCCATTTGCGTATGTTCTTTGGGAAAGTGAGTGCGCAAAGGTTAGGTGTGGACGTTTCTAGCCGCCCCTTATCAGGATGTGGAAGTTCCCTTCTGTTCCTAGTAGTGGGGGGAGTATTTTGTCAAGAAAGGGCGCTGGGTTCAAGGGGATACCTTTTCTGTCTCAAAGTGATCGTGGGCTTTTTGTGTCTGTTCTGTTCACAGTGTTTATGACTGCTCTTTGGCTTGCTGAACCAACCATTTTTTCCCAGATAAATCCCATTTGGTCAAGTTGTAGAGTCCGTTTTATGTATGACTGGGTTTGGCATCGGGATCAACTGGCCACGTAGAGTAGGTTGGAAGTGTCTGTGCCCAGTTGCGTTCTGCATACGGATCCTGATGATTGGTGACATTGAGCTCATTTCATGTGCTTTTTGGCCACTTCTGTATCTTCTTGGGGAAATGTGTACTCCCATTGTCCATTATTTAGTTGTATTATTTGTCCTTATAATTTTTTGTTGTTGTCATATGAGTTTTTAAAACCCTGTTTAGGTCACTAATGTCGTATCGGCTCTTTGACTAGCAAACCCACACTGCAGACCCAGACGAGGGGTCGTTGCCTTCATTGTCAATGATGTAGCTGGGGGTTCTGTGTGTTTGGATTTTGGGAACATGTCATTTTTATTTAATTTTTGTTTTTTTAAAAGTTTATTTATTTTAGAGACAGTGCATGAGCTGGGGAGGGGCAGAGAGAGAGGGAGACACAGAATCTGAAGCATCTCCAGGCTCTGAGCTGTCAGCACAGAGCCCGACGTGGGGCTCGAACCCACGAACCGGGGAGATCATGACCTGAGCTGAAATCGGATGCTTAACCAACTGAGCCTCCCAGGTGCCCCGGAACATGTCTTTTTTAAGCAGCTACTGATCATTTTATCATAATTGTTTGCTCTTTATTTCAGTGATGTGGTGTCCTCCGATTTTGCTTGAAAGATATTATGCGTTTTTTCCTCTCTGTTAAAGTCACTTCTGGCTCTTTTGGCCTCAGTCTCCCAGGGAACTTTTCTCTCTGGTGCCCCCTTCGGCTTGAGTTCTAGGCACCGGGTTACATATTTTAGAGGCCCTGCTGACTTCTGAGTTTCTTCAGGAACTAGGACTCGTCTTACACACCAGATGCGCCAGGCACCCTGGCCTGTGTCCGTGCCCAGAGCCCCCCTAATCCGGGTAAAGGGTTGTGTCTGCCTCTGTCATAACAGAGGGGATTGCGTCAGGCTGCTTAACCTCATTCCTTCCAGGGCAAGAGCAGCGCTGGGATCTGAGTGTCCACAACGTCCTGACATTCTGGTCCCGGTTCTTGGACCTGATGGTGCAGGATCATCTTTGAGCAAGACAAATGTGTGTCCTCCGATTTCTGTGTCGTCCAAGTAGATATTTCATGTTTCAATCCGTACAGTTGTGTCCCCTCACACCTGTCTCAGTGTAAATAACCCAATAAACTGGGCGTATGTGAGTCTGTGTCAGCTGCTGTCTTCACCCTGCGCTCACGTTCCAGCCCTTCCCGTCCTGTGCGCACTGCAGGGGACCTGCTTGCGTGTTGTCACTCTCTACTCACGTGTGACTCGGGTCCTAGGAATGGAGGGCAGCTCCCTGCCTGTCACCCTTCATCCTCCCACACACACGGGTGAGGATGGAGCTTTGCTGCAATAGAACGTGTGGTATGTTTCAGGACTCTGTGGTCTTTGTGGATGTGGCTGTGAACTTCACCCCGGAAGAGTGGGCTTTGCTGGATAGCGGTCAGAGGAACCTGTACAGAGATGTGATGCTGGAGACGTGCAAGAACCTGGCCTCAGTGGGTAAGGATGGCCCCGTCCCTTCACTGGTGTTTACGGAAAAAATGTTTCTTACTGCTGTCCAGTCTTCCTGGGGCCAAGGAATGGGATTGTCCTGGAGGAGAGATAGACACAGTCCGAGCCTTCATGGCCCCTACGTAGAGTCCCATAGCTTTTCCGTGAGAAAAGTTTTAAGTGTTAAATGGACTCTATTCGTCTTGATCAAGGTCTGAGACTCCCTCATTTTATAAATGTGCATGCAGTCTACAGTGAGCCCTGCTTTGTGGTTTCACTCCAGTGGAAGTTACACGGTGTTTAATACACATCAGACACCTTAAAATTGCTGCACTGAAACTCTCACTTAGCGAGAAGGGGATCCTGAGTTCACCTTGCCCCTGGACACTCTGAGGCTACGGGAACCTGTGCTCCCCCTCACTCTTGCCATGCCCGGGAAACTGGCCGAACAGGTCTTCATTTGAAGCAAACGTGAAGGAAAAGGGTAGGCGGGGCGGAGATGTGGTTGGAACCCAAACCCCCAGCGTGGCTGCTCACAGGTGGGTGGGACATCCCAGTTACAGAGAAGCCAGGGAATCGGTCCCCACACCATGCACCCCTGGCCTGGGGGACCATGGTGTGAAGACCAGGACCCACAACACCAGCCTTTGAAAATCAGTGAGCCATAAGTTTAGAGGGTGGAAACCTCGCTGGGGCTTAATTCCAGGCTGTATCATTTGCTAGAAGACCCAGCACGGGGGCAGCATTTTGAAACTCACCTTAGTTGTATGTGATGGAGATGTATTGATTAATTTTAGGACACACACTGGGGGCTCCGGGAGCTCTCTCCAGGAACAGATGTGTGGGCAAGTGTCATTTGTCTTGCCTCCTTCACCCTGGGTGGCCAAGTGCTTGTAGGAGCCAGTTCTGATACTTTCCATCTATGTCACCAACACCATTTGCCACACCTCAGCGTAGGACCCACACGACCCCCCTCCCCCAGGACACAAAATCAATGTACAGAAATCTGTTGCATTCCTATGTACTAATAATGGGGCAGCAGAATGTTAAATTTATAAACAATCCCCTCTTAAAGTTGCACCAAAACCAGGACAATAGCTAGGAATCAGCTTAACCAAAGAGGTGAAGAGCTGTACTGTGAACACCGTAAAACACCGATGAAAGAAATTCAAGACAACTCAGAGAAATGGAAAGACATTCTATGCTCACGGATTGGAAGAACAATTAGTGTTAAAATGTCTATGCTGCCCTGGGCAATGTAGAGATTTAATGCAATCCCTAGCAAAATCCCAACAGTATTTTTCACACAGGTGGCACAAAAATGCTAACGTTTGTGTGGAACCACAGAAGACCTTACATAACCAAAGCAATCTTGAGAAAGATACACATAACTGGAGGTATTGCGATTCCAGATTCCAAGTTCTATGACAGCGTGGTAGTCATTAAAACAGGATGATACTGGTACAAAAATAGAACCATACATCAATTGAGCAAAACAGAAAACCTAGAAATAAGCCCACGATTATATAGTCAGGTTTTTTTTCAGTTATATATTTTGATAGCAAGAGAGTGAGTGCGGGGAATGGGCAGAGAAAGAGGGAGAGAATCCCAGGCAGGTTCTGCACTGTTAGTAAGGAGCCTGATGCCGGGCTCAAACTCACAAACTGTGAGATCATGACCTGAGCTGAAATCAAGAGTCAGATGCTTACCTGACAAAGCCACCCAGGCGCCTCGTCAATTAACCTTTAACAAAGGAGGAGAGAATATACTGGGGGAAAAGGGTAGTCTCTTCAACAAATGACATTGGGAAAATTGGACCCCTTTCTTCAGCACACATAAAAATAAACTCAAAGTGGATTAGTGACCCAAATGTGAGACCTGAAACCATAAAACTTCTGGAAGAGAGCCCAGACAGTTCTCTTTGATATCAGCTGTAGCAACATTTTTCTAGCTATGTCTCCTGAGGCAAGGAAAATAAAAACGACCACATCCAAATAGAAAGCTTCTGCACGGTGAAGGCAACAAGCAACAAAACTAAAAGGCAGCTGATGGAATGGGAGATTCTTGCAAACAGTACATCTTTTATGGGTTAGTATCCAAAATATATAGAGAACTGAAACAACGCAATACCCCAAAACAAGCAAGCAATCTAATAAAAAGTGGTCAGGGGCATCAGACTGTTGGGCATCTGACTCTTGGTTTCGGCTCAGGTCATGATCTCACGCTTGTTGGGCTTGATTCCCACGTTGGGCCCCGCGCTGAAAGCAAGGAGCCTGTTTGGGATTCTCTTTTCTCTGCTCCTCCCCCATTCATGCTATCTCATCCCCCCCCCCCCAAATAAATAAATAAACTTTTTTAATTTTAAAAAAAAAATTTTTTTTACGTTTTATTTATTTCTGAGAGAGAGAGACAGCACAAGCAGGGGAGGGTCAGAGAGAGACGGAGGCACAGAATCTGAAACAGGCTCCAGGCTCTGAGCTGTCAGCACAGAGCCCCATGTGGGGCTTGAACCCATGAACCGTGAGATTATGACCTGAGGCGAAGTTGGATGCTTAACCAACTGAGCCACCCAGGTGCCCCAACATTTTTTTTTATTTTTTAAAATAATTTTTTTTAATTCACTATTTTTTATTTTTAAAAATAAAAATTTTTAATTTTAATATTTTAATTTTTATATTGTATTTAAATTTATTTTTTATTTTTAAATAAAAAATATTTATCTTTTGAGAGTGAAAGAGAGAGAGTGAGTGGGGAGGGACAGAGAGAGAGGGAGACAGACTCTAAAGCAGGCCCCAGACTCCACACTGTCAGTGCAGACTGGACATGGGGCTCTGACTCACCAATGGCGAGATCATGACCTGAGGCAAAGTCAGACTCAACTGACTGAGCCACCCAGGCGTCCAATAAATTAACATTTTAAAAAAAAAAGGACAGAAGACATGAAGAGACTCTTCAAAGAAGACATCCAGATGACGAACAGGCATGTGAAAGGTACTCAGCATCACTCACTGTCAGGGAAATGCAAATCAAAACTGTAAAGATGTATCCCCTCCCACCTGTCAGAATGTCTGAAAGAAAAAACACAAGACTGCGTGTTAGCGAGGATGTGGGGGCAAAGGAACCTTTGTGCGGTGTTGGTGAGAATGCAGACTGGTGGCAGCCACTGTGGAAAACTGCTTGGAGGTTCCTCAAAGAATTAAAAATAGAACTACCCTACGATCCAGGAATTGCACTGCTGGATATTTACCCCCAAAACACAGTCTCTCTCTCTCTCTCTCTCTCTCTCTCTCGGAAATAAATAAAACATTAAATAAATTTTTTTTAAATAAGGGGCTGCCTGGGTGACTCAGTCGGTTAAACGTCCGACTTCAGCTCAGGTCATGATCTCACAGTTCATGGGTTCAAGCCCCGCGTCGGGCTCTGTGCTGACAGATCAGAGCCTGGAGCCTATTTCAGATTCTGTGTCTCCCTCTCTCTCTGACCCTCCCCTGCTCACACTGTCTCTCTCTCTCTCAGAAATAAATAAAACGTTAAAAAAATTTAAAAAACAAAACAAAACACAAAAACACTAATTCAGAGGGATGCACGCACCCCTGTGTTGATTGCAGCATTATCTACCATCACCAGACTGTGAAAGTGGCCTGAGTGTCCATCACTAGATGAATGAGTAAGGCAGTGGTGTTAGTATACAGTGGAATATTAGCCAGCCATAAAAAAGAATGAAATCTTGCCACTTACTACAGTGTGGAAGGAGCTAGACAGATTTGTTAAATGAAATCAGAGACAGACAAATACCAAATGATCTCACTTCTGTGTGGGATCCATGAAACAAAGCAAACGAGCCAAGGGAAAAATGAGGGCAAGACAAACCAAGAAACAGACTCTTGACTATAGAGAACAGACTGGTGGTTACAAGAGGGGAGGTGGGGGGCATAGAGGAAGAAGGGGGTGGGGATTAAAGAGTACCCTTATGATGAGAAAAAAAAAAGAAATTGAAGATACACAAAATTGAAACATACAGTATTCTCATGGATTGGAAGGATTAATATTGTTAAAGTCCATGCTATGAAAAGCACTCTACAAATTCAGTGTACCTACCTACCTACCTACCAATAAATAGTATTTTTCAAAGAACTAGAGCAAAAAATCCTAAAATGTGTATGGAACCTGAAGAGACCCCCCAATAGCCAGAAGTCTTAGGAAAGCATACCAAAGCTGCCGATATAATCCAGATTTGAAACTGTATTGCAAAACTGTAGTAATCAAAAGAGTATGTTACTGGCATGAAAACAGGTGTAGACAAAGAGAACAGAATAGAGAGCCCAGAAAGCAAGCCATGTGTGTATTGTCCAAATATCTACAACAAAGCAGGTCAGAATATACAGTATAGAAAAGACTGTCTCTGTAATAAGTGGTGTTGGGAAAACTGGACAGCTACCTCCAAAAGAATGAAACGGTGCAGAGAAAGGGGAACCCTTTGGCACTGCTGGGGGGAATGCAAACTGAATGCAAAATTTGAAGGGGTGCGTGCACCCTGAAGTTTATAGTAGCATTATTTATAACAGCTAAGCCATGGAAGCAGCCCAAATGTCCTTTGACTGCTGAATGTATAAATAAGATGTGGTGTATATAGAATATTACTCAGCCACCAAAGATAATGAAATCTTGCCATTTGCAACTATGTGGATGGATCTAGAGAGTATTAAGCAAGATAGGTCAGAGGAAAACAAATAACATGATGTCACTCATGTAGCATTTAAGAAACAAAACAGATGAACATATGGGAAGAGGGAAACTGTAGGAGACTTTTTTTTTGAAGAATATTTTTAATGTTTATTTATTTTTGAGAGAGAGGAAGAGACAGAGTGAGAACGGGGGAGGGGCAGAGAGAGAGGGAGACACAGACTCGGAAGCAGCTCCAGACTCTGAGCTGTCAGCACAGAGCCCAATGTGGGGCTTGAACTCGTGAACCCTGAGATCATGACCTGAGCTGAAGTCGGGTGCTTAACCGACTGAGTCACCTAGGTGCCCCCATAAGAGATTCTTAAAACAAAATTTTTTCATGTTTTATTTATTTTTGAGAGGGAGAGATCGTGAGTGGAAGAAGGGCAGAGAGAGAGAGAGAGGGAGACACAGAATCAGAAGGAGGCTCCAGGCTCTGAGCTCTTAGCACAGAGCCCAATGCAGGGCTCAAACCCACGAGCTATGAGATCATGACCTGAGCCGAAGTCGGACACTTAACTGACTAAGCCCCCCAGGCCCCCAAGAGACTCTTAAGAATAGAGAACAAGCTGAGGGTTGATGGAGGGAGGTGGGTGGGTGATGGATTAGGAGGGCACTGGTTGTGATGAGCACTGGTGTTGTATGTAAGTGATGAATCACTGAATTTTACTCCTGAAAGCAATATGGTGCTGTATCTTTACTAACAAATTTAAGTAAAAACTTGAAGGAGCGCCTGGGGGGCTCAGTTAGTTCAGCATCTGACTCTTGATTTCAGCTCAGGTCGTGATTTCACAGTTTGTGAGTTCAAGCCCCACGTTGGGATTCCCTCTCCCTCTCTCTCTGAACCACCCTCAGTCACACTCTATCACTCACAAAATAAAGAAACTTTTAAAAATTTGAAAAGAAAGCAAAACAATGAAATGGGGCCCCTCTCTTACAGCTTACACAAAAGTAAACTCAATGTGGATTAAATACCTAGATGTAAGACTTGAAAGTATACACCTCTTGAAAGAAAACAGAGACCGTAAACTCAAGGACATTATTAGCCTTAGCGATGTTTTTGTGGACTTGTCCCTCAGGGAAGGGTCAAAAAAAAAAAAAAAAGGAAGAAAAACCCCACACTAAACAATTGGGATTATGTCAAACTGAAAAGCTTTTGCATTGTGAAGAAACTCAACATAATGAAAAGGCAACCCTTTGTTTATGGGAAAGGGAGAAGATATTTGCCAATGTACCTCCAGTAAAAGGTCAGTATCCAAAATACAAATAATTCCTACAAGTCAACACCAGAAAAAAATTGATTAATAAATGGGCAGAGGAACTTAACAGCCATTTTCCTGAAGACGATATTCAGAAGGCCAATAGACCTCCAAAAAGCTGTTGAATATCACTAATCATCAGGGAAATGCCAATCAAAACCATAAGGAGGTATCTCAGAGAAGGTAAAATGGTTAGTATCAAAAAGACAGAAAATAGCAAATATTGATGAGAATGAGAGACCAGGAAACCCGTCACTCTTCGTATGAAGGAAAACTGGGGTGGCCATCATGGAAAACAGTGTGGAGTTTCCACAAAAAACTAAAGCACAAGTGGGCCGCCTGGGTCCATTAAGCATCCGACTTTGGCTCAGGTCATGATCTCACGGTTCGTGGGTTCGAGCCCCACATCGGGCTCTGTGCTGGCAGCTCGGAGCCTGGAGCTGCTTTGGATTCTGTGTCTCCTCCTCTTTCTGCTCCTCCCCTGCTCAGATTTTCTCTGTCTCTCTCAAAAATAAATAAAACACTAAAGAGAAAAAAAACCTAAACCACAAGTACCACATCGTCTATGAATCCACTTCTAGGTAGTTGACCATGTGAAAAAAAAGCTAATACAAAAAGATGCGTGCACCCCCACGTTCCTTGTGGCACTAGGCACAATACTTACGATACGCAGGAGTCCACGACACATGAATGGCTAATGAAGATGTGGTGTCTACATACAAAAGGGTATCACTCAGCCATATGACATGGATGGGTTCTTGCCATTTGTGACAACATGGATGGACAACATGGGTGTCATTCCAAGTAAATTAAGTCAGAAAGATAAACACCATGTTGTAACTTATATGTGGAATCTAAACAAAATGAAGGAACAAACAACGCATAGAAACAGGTGTAAAAACTTGAGAAGAACATGGTGTTTGTGAGGTTGGAAGAGAAGGGAGGGACAGGTGAATGGATGAAGGGGATTGAGAAGGACAGAGTTGGGCTTATTAAGTAATGACATCATGGGAGTGAAGAGTACGCACAGGGAGTATGGTCAGGAGTATTGTAGTAGTTTGTATAGTGACCAGTGGGAATTCCACTTACTGTGGAGAGCATTTTGTGATGATTATAATTGTCCAGTCACTATGTTGTACCCCTGACCACTAATATTATTTGTCAATATGATCCTCCCCCCTCCCCCCCACAAAAAAAAGCCCAAGGGCTCCTGGCTGGCTCAGTCAGAAGAGCATGCAATTCTTGATCTCAGGGTCATGAGATTGAGCCCCATGTTGGGTGTACAGGTTAGTAAAAATAAACTTAAACCAAAAAAAAAGCTCACACTTCTCCCTAATCCGTGACCTTGAAGACTGAAGTCAGCGCCCATCTTCCAGATTGCTTGGTGTCTTTCACATGCTTCCTCCTGCTGAGCTCTTTTCGGGGGCAGGGCAGCAGCCACTCACACCATCTAGTCTCCTAGTTACAGCTGGGGCAGCGCAGGTGGGCTCCACCGAGGGCCTCTGCCTTCGGAACAGGACAACCCTCGGGTGACGAGGGTCCGGAGAAGGGATTGGTGTTTGGACACATCCACTAGAAACATGACTCGGGGCACCTGTGTGGCTCAGTCAGTTAAGCATCTGACTCTTGATTTTGCTTCAGGTCATGATCTCATGAATTGTGGGGTGGAACCCTGTGTCGGGCTCCAGGCTGACAGTGCAGAGCCTGCTTGGGATTCTCTCTCTCTCTGCCTCTGACCTGCTTGTGCTGTCCCTCTCTCTAAAAATAAATAACAAGAAAGAAATGTGACTCAGTCTGTTTGAGAAGGGTGCTATGTGTCATTTCCCTCACTTCCCTGTTGGACTTTTCATCCACCCTCACCCTCGTGGTGAGCCTGTGTTCCTCTTAATAGAGGTAGGGTGTGGATGTGAATCTTGCCCAATCCCTTCCTACTTTGTTTTTCTAATAATACTTAATCTCCACATTAGTCTCCACCTATATTGAAATATTTCTGAATGAATGGGCTGCCATTTGATTCACTTTTCCTGTCCTCGCCAAAGTCGCAGATTACCTCGGAATGTTTCCTTGGTCGCGTGACCTTTCTTCCTGATGAACTTCATTTACATTTGAGATCGGTATATGAATGGAAGTCCACATTTGGTCTGTTTTCTTTCTTTTATCCACTGATTCTTTTCCAGCAAATTAAATTATGCTACCAAATGTTGCAGATTATTGCATTCGAGTTAATACCAGCGGGTCAAGTCCTCAGTGGGATGTTTTGGAGGATGAACCATCTCATGATGAAAAATTCGTAAGATTTGCAAGAAATAATTCCTGGTCTGTTTTTGGAGAAAACCAGACATTTCATAGCAGAGGAGATTACCTGCGAACCCAGGAAAGGCATTTTAGGTGAGTGACACTTGCAGGGAGAAGGGGGAGATGTTGGGAGATTGTGAGACTATCTTGGACTTAGAACAGCTGTAAACGTAGCTCAGCAATCGTGTAATTGACTGGAAAAATACCGTGTAGATATTGATCATCTGAACCACTGTTCAGGTGGAAACAGTGGTCAGGGAAAAGTCTATGTGAGAAGCCCTGAATGTTATGCCTATTATGTCAGCCAGCGCGGTCAGTTTGTGCCACTTGTAACTATGCAGACAGTGCCCCAAACATACCCATTCTTGACAGTGGCCATTATGTAGTCCAGTAATGATTAACAGGCAGCAGCAGATCATTAATTGAGGGATCGCTTACAAGCATCCTTCCCTAACTGTGTGCCTTCCTATTTGGAACAGAAGCCCTTTGGTGGAAGGGGTCTGCGAACGTTCTGACGGTGATCAACGTGGAGAAGCCCTGAACCCAGTTACAAGTCTCACTGTGCGTGATGGGTATCCTACTGGAGGCAGACCCTGTCAGTGCACTAAGTGTAGAGAAGCCTTCACAGACAGCTTTATGCTCGGGAACATGCGAAGACCTCACGCAGGACTCCGACCTGGTGGCTGTGAGGAGTGCGGGCTGGCCTGCAGCTGCGCCCCGAGCCTCACCACTCACACGGACACAGACCTCGCAGAGAAATCCGGTGAAGGTCAGGACGCCGGGAGGGCTTCTCAGTCGTACGCGAAGAGTCTCCGTAGTAAAATATCTCTGGAGTGCAAGAAATGTAGAAAAGCCTTCATTTGCACGTCTTCCTTTCAGGGTCCCGTTCGAGGTCCCTGTGGGCAGAGCGTCCACGCGTGTGGCGTGTGTGGGAAAGCCTTTTTGTTTCAGTGCCGTCTGACGTGTCAGGTGAGAACTCAGGCCGGGGAGAGAGCCGGTGATTTTATAGACTTCGGGAAAATCTACAGCTGCCTCTCCTACCCTCAAGGCCCCACAAGTAATCCAACAGGGCAAAGAGTTTTTGAATGTGGGCTCTGCGGGAAAGCCTTCACTCGGCGGACCTACCTTCAGAGTCACGTGAGAACGCACACCGGGGGGAAACCCTATAAATGTCAGGAGTGTGGGAAAGCCTTCACTCGCCGGGCCTACCTTCAGAGCCATCTGAGAAAGCACAGCGGAGTGAAGTCTTTTAAATGTCAGCAGTGCGGAAAAGCCTTCTATTCGTCCTCGTACCTGCAGATACACGCGAGAATACACACCGGGGAGAGGCCCTGCGTCTGTCAGCATTGTGGGAAATCGTTCAGGTACCCGGCCAACCTGCGCGCCCACGTGAGGACGCACACCGGGGAGCGCCCCTACGAGTGTAAGGAGTGTGGGAAGACCTTCAGCCGTGTCTCCTCGTTTCGGAGGCACGGGAAAACCCACAGTTGAGTGTGCAGCCTGCGAAAGGAAGGAGTGTCGTTCCTCGTCCCTTCTGTTGTTTCACCCCCTTCGACGTGGAAGAACGCACGCTCGGAAGAGACGCTTGTACGTAGTGCGGCCGAGCTTTCAGGCAGCTCCGGCCCTTTGCAAAGGCATTTGAGATACACAGTCGCGGGAAACCGTAGGAAAGTAGAGAGGGTGGGGAGGCCTGGCGGGCGTACGGAGTGCGTGTGGGGAGGCACAGCGGGGAGGGACCCTCTGAAGGTCACGACCACCGTGGGAGCGCGTTCAGTTGCCACGGCCGCCTTCACGACCACGTGAAGCTACACAGCGGACGGTAAGCCGTGGAATCTCAGGACTCTGGTAGGACCTTCCGGGGTCCCGGAGCCCTGCGGGTCCGTGTGACCACTCACCCTGGGCACTGAGGGAGCGCCTCCAGTTGTCCCTCCTCCCCCCGACGACACGTGTGAAGGAAAACGCAGTGAAGCGAAGGCCGAGAGCGTAGGAACCACGGAACGGCCTCCGGGCGTCCCAGGGACTTGTGAGCACACGCACGGGGGACTGACCCTGAGCACAGCGCCTGCGGCACAGCCTTCGTTCTCCCCTAACGGTCGTGTTTTAAATGGGAGCAGACACGGTGCAGAGGAATCTTCTCAGTGGGGAAAATGTCGGGAAAACTTGAAGTGTAGTACTTCCCGCTTTTTGTGCACGGAAGGTCAGGTAGGGCCGGAATCTTCTAGCTGTTGCGAATGTGGATTTGTCTTTGCAAATGCCTCCTGGGACCCGAGTGCGTTAATTCCAGTGCATGCCTGAGAAGCATCCCGCTGTGTCCTCCTCACCTGTGTGACACGATTTTGTTATCTCAGATTTGAACATCACCCACAGTTCTAGAAAACGTGTCTCAGATTTGAACATCACCCACAGTTCTAGAAAACGTGTCTCATTTCCACGACAGTGTCTTCTGGACCGGACCCAGGGCTGATGAGTGCTCTGTACATATAGCTCATCCTCTGGTGCAGAGACTAGAATTCCCCGACTCCGCATCTGCCCCTCCTCGTGGCCTTTATTTAATCACAAGTTGTATCTCCACGTGTGCCGTCGCAGCTGCGTGCCCCACGGACGTTAGTAAACGTGCAAGGATGTTGGGAGAGGACAGTCTCCCCTCATTGTGTTTGTAGTTTGACCCCCACTCATCACCCTTGATCTCAGTTGTTCATCAGTCATGACCCATTGAGTTACGAAGAGAAAACTTGTTGGGGACGCCTGGGTGGCTCAGTGGGTTAAGCGTTGACTCTTGGTTTCGGCTCAGGTCATGATCTTGCGGTTTGTGGGATTGATCCCCGCATCAGGCTCTGCGCTGACAGCTCGCTCTCAAAATAATTAACTTTTAAAAAAAACAGAAGAGAACTATTGTGGCGTGAAGATGAAGGCTGGTGTCTGGCTGGTTCTGCTGCGTTTCATTGAGAGCCTGGTGAGGCAGGAGACCGCGTGTCCCGGGGTCCTTCTCTGCGGCTCTGAGGAAGGCAAGCTGTGCGGCTCGGAGAGCAGCAGTGAGGAACCGTGAGCCTCCAGCGTTCCGTTCCTCCAGGGGACAGAGACGCGTGGGGACCCGGATGGGCCTGAGTCCCAGTGCGTCATCCTGGCTTCTGGTCTGCCGTCTGGAACAGCCCCCACCCGAACACAAGTCTGACGTTAGTTTTTGTTGGCACGTTCCAGAGACTTCCATGAGCTGTCCCGTGATGGACCATCTGGGCTTTCTGGTCCACACGGATCCTTGTGTTGCCCTGTGACCCGTTGTGTCAATGGTGTCTCTTCAGGCTGTCGTGCTTGGTAATGTCTCTCATCCTGTGACCCCTCTATCTCCATGCTTTTCTTAAAAATTTTTATTTTACTTTCTTTTTCTTTTTCCTTTTTTTTTTTTTCTTTTTTTTGAGAGAGTGAACAGTGGAGGAGCAGAGAACCCCAAGTGGGCTCTATGCTGTCAGCACAGGGCCCGACTCGGGGCTCCCTCTCCTGAACCGTGAGGTCACAACCTGAATCAGTACTGAGAGTCGGACGCTTCACCAACTGAGCCACCCAGGCAGCCCTTCATGCTTTACCTCGTACGTGATTTCTGTGGTAGCACCTTGTCCCTCTCAGGGCACATCTGTGTCCTCCCCACCCCCACCCCCCCAACCCCCCGACAGGCTGAATGCTGCAGCCACAGATCCAAGAGACCCTGTCCGTGGTTGCGCTATAGAGAGGCTGTGCTGACCCTGCACTTCTTCTTTCTGGATAGTTCCATGATTGGAATTAGCACCTGTGAGTGTATTTGGCAGTTTGTGGGAGTTTTCCCCTATAGCTGACTGCTTGTGTAAGAGAGAAACCCAGTGTGCTCGATGACTATTGTGACGTGTGATTTCCCAGTGTTTAATTCTGTTGTTTTTAATATGTGATCCAAAACACTGTAGTTTTTGTGAAGTAGAATCCCCCACATTATTTCTTAGAAAGCGTATTCCCTGGGTTTTCCAATCTTTTACATCCTTATAAGTGTTTTATGATTTGTTACCTGAGAGTTTATGTTAAAATATGATCTGTTGGAAAAGTGACTCATTTTTGAATGTGTCATTTTTTTCCATATATGTTAAGAAGCAACAGTACTAAATACTGTTAATCTTTAAAAAAAAAAAAAAAAAAACCTGACACTTCTATGCCAGGAAAAATAGGTTTATCTGTTATTAGCAGTTCAGTACAGGAGAGCTTCAGCAAAAGTATAGACATGTCTGGAGAACAGAGAGGAATTCTCTTTTATAGAGGAGAGGAGGATTTCTAGAAGGGGCAGGTATAACACAGCCCATTGTTGTGAAGTGGGAGTTCAAGTATAGCGTCTTTTCATGGGCTAAGCTGTGACATGTGACAGTGTCATTGGCTAGGCCATTAATGGCAGAGGAGAAAACGTTTCTTCCTCTTGGTGGGACAGTAAAGCAATAGCCAACGTTGTATTAAATTGCAGGGTGTCTTTCCTTTTGAGTGTGTAGTTGACAATCACTCCTCCTCGGTCATGAGATCTCTCCAAGGTCATTCTTCAAAAGCATTACTGATCAAGAGACTGGCTTTCGGTTTTTAGCGGTTTTGTCCCTCAGTGCTGGGGAGGACGTTTCCTGGGTCTGTGTCTTATGTGAGAGAGGGCAAGTGCACAGCAGTGGAAGCCAGTTAGGGCCCCAAGAAGGAAGGCGGGGTGGGAGAAACTCCCGCGCGTCCCATCTAGTCTGTTTATCAAGGTGATAAGCATTGGAGGGGCGCCCGGCTGGCTCGGTCAGTAAAGCATGCTGCCCTTGATCTCAGGGTTGTGAGTTCAAGCCCCACGTTGGGTGTAGTGATTACTTTAAAATAAAATCTTAAAAAGAGAGAGAGAGAGAGATGGTAAGTATGGGAAATCATTTAATTATTAGGTACATCATTTTCACAAAAGTTTGACAGGCAACAATATAGAAACCTTAGAATAAATATACAAAACTAAGTAGCTTGGCAATTTTACGTTATGTGAATATTCTTTTTTTTTTTTTAATTGTTTTTGAGAGAGAAATCATGAGCAGGGGCGGGGCTGAGAGAGGGAGAGAGAGAATCACAAGCAGGCTCTGCACTGTCGGCACAGAGCCTAACGTGGGGCTTGATCTCACAAACCATGAGACTATGACCTGAGCCGAAACCAAGAGTTAAGATTTTTAACTGACCAACCCCCCCAGGTGGCCCAACGTGAATATTCTAAACCGCCACACTAGGCCTGGAAGTACTCAACTGAAGTATTTATTGCCACTTCTTCAGACTTCGGGGAGGAAAGTCTTGTTTATGAAAGCAAACCCAGAGTCCTGGCTGTCCCCGGAAGACCCTTGGGGAAACAGCATGGAAGGGAGAATGGCGGAGGGGTGCCGGGCATGTGACTCGCGATCCCAGGGTTGTAGTTCGAGCCCCATATTGAACATAGAAATTACTTAAAAATAAGTTATTAGAAAAAAACCCCAGAATAGCAGATGCTGTAAGAGCACAAGGATCAACTGAGTGGATGGGGCAGGTCTAGTGCGAATAAGAATCCGAAGCAATAGCTGATGAAATTTTTTGCAATAATGGCAAAACTTGAAAGTTTATTTTTATTTAAGTTACCTCTACCTCCAGATTCATGAGTCTGAGATCAAGAGTCCCATGGGGCGCCTGGGTGGCTCAGTGGGTTAAGCGTCCAACTTTGGCTCAGGTCATGATCACGACGTTCGTGGGTTCGAACTCCGTGTCGGGCTCTGTGCTGACAACTAGCTCAGAGCCTGGAGACTTTGGATTCTGTGTCTCCCTCTCTGTCTCTGGCCCTTCCCTGTGCTCTCGCTCCCTCTTTCTCAAAAACAAACATTAAAATTATTTTAAAAAAGAGAGTCCTGTGCTGCCCCAACTCAGCCAGCCAGGTGCCCCAAAAGACATTTTAAAACGGCATTGTTGTGGGGCAACCTGGGTGGCTCAGACAGTTAAGTGTCCGACGCTTGATTTTGGCTCAGGTCACGATCTCACAATTCCGTGAGTTCAAGCCCCACATCAGTCTGTGCACACTGACTGCGCGAAGCCTGCTGGGGATTCTGTCTCCATCTCTCTCTTGGCCCCTCCCCTGCTCGCTCGCTCTCGCTCTCTCTCTCTCTCTCAAAATAAACTTAAAAAAAAGTATTGTTATTCCAAAAGTTTTGAACCAAATGTGTTATTAAATACAGCCTATAGAGTTACATTTTTAGAAACTTCTACTGCCTGAGAATCCCATGTCGGTGAAGAGTCCAGATGAAAGAAAGACTTCTTTGAATTCTGGACCTCTTCCCTCTTAGAAGAAAGCAAGTGACAGTCACTTTGTCAGGGGGTCACGAGGAGGGGGGTTCCGAAAGGCCCCAGCTTGAAGAAGAGAGCCCCCTCTTTTGTAGCATCTTCTTCCCACGAAGGAGAGGGAAGCAGCAACGATGAGGAAAAGGAGCCCAGGCTGGGACTGGACGCCTCAGGAAGGCCGCGGCCCCGGGCTCTGCTGTCTGTCCGGGAAATCTTTGCCGACTCTTGGTCCAGATGTGTGGTCCTGCCCTTGGCTAAGTTACGTGCATGAGTAACGCCGTGTAGCTCATCTTGTTGGGCCGGACAGCAAAGGGGAGGGTCAGTACCTTCAAAAGGATTTGCAGTAGTTCACGCAGCCTAATCTTTACCACTCTGACCCTTTTTATTTTTTTATCTAAAAGAAACATTGAAAAAAAATTTTTGAGACACAGCGCCTGAGCAGGGGAGGGGCAGAGAGAGAGGGAGACACAGAATCCCAGGCAGGCTCCAGCCTCCAAGCTGTCAGCACTGAGCCGGACGTGGGGCTCGAACCGATGAACGGTAAGATCCTGACCTGAGCTGAAGTCGGACACTTAACGGGACTGAGCCACGTGGGCGGCCCCACTTTGATCTTTTTTTTATTGTTGGGAGGAGTGGCATGTAAAAGGTCATGGGGAGTCAGAAGGACGTGTCAGCATTAAGCAGTCCTGAGGGTTTTGTGTGGACCCAAATGCGGTCTGGTTCCAAGATCAAGTGCCCGGAAGTATTGATTCTGAGTTTGAGCAAACTGCAAATTGTTGAGACTCTATGTCCCTTTAAGCCCCAGAGTTTAACAGGTAGATGATGTCTCCCATTGAAGGGGAGCAGAGTATGAAACTATCCTTAGTGTAACAAACAAGATGCCGAAAACCTATTCACCAGGTCAGCTTTAGGGGCTTGTGAAAGGAAAGCCTCCCTGTGGGCCCCGGGGCAAGATGGGTAAGGATGGATAAGATGTATTTCTTTCTGAGCCTCCAAGTGAGAGCAAAAACTGGCTAAGCTTATCATCTCTTATCATCTCGAATGCTGGAATCCACTGCAGAAGTAAGT